TTAGTTCCTCACAACCCATTTCTGTGGTTTTTTTTGTTTGGGTTTTTTGTGTGTTTTGTTTTTGTTTTTTAAAACTTTATCCCATCTATGCGTCCCTGTCTAAAGACTAAACCCTGACAACATAGAGCATTGATTTCCCTGTCCTTCTAGTGCCACCAGATAGTCATCTCTCACACACAGAGGTAAAGATACCTCCACAATAGAAGCAATAGCACCACCTCAAAAATCTACACCCTTTTCTTCATCCATAAAAACTATTATTTTGGTATCAAAATTTACAGAACACCAATTACGATCCCTATCCAGTTTCCTCCTTTAGACTAGCCCTCCTTATCTTCCTTCCCTGTCAACTGCAGCTAACAGGATCAGTCCCAGCATTTGACCATTTCTCACAATCTGTACTCATCATGTTATTTCATTAATTCTTTGTACAACTCTATGTGACTCCTTGTTCACTTTGGCTGCAAGCTTCTCGCAACAGGACCCCTTATCATGTGTGAGCACTGGAATAATATAATAAATAATAAAAGCATTAATTACTTCATTGTATAGCAGATCACACAAAACCAACTGTGACTCGTTTCTTCTGCAAATGAGTTGAACCAGAAAAATTATGTCAACTGCGCAGCTTTTAGCTTAAAATTTCTGTCACTTAATGCAACATAAAATCTTGCTTTCCTGATGATAGCTCAGAAGAGGAGGATGAAAAAAAAAAAGCTCTCTTCATCCCTCTTATGCACATTTTCCAAGAGCTTTGCTTCCCAAGATAAAACATACAAGGTCTGCAGATATGCTCACAGCCGTGCACAAAATTGCACTGCCATGACCTAATTTGATCACATTTCTAGCCTTGTTTTTTTGCATAGATGATCAGTCGTTAGTTCACTTTTTTTTTTTGCATGATTTTCACTTTAAAACCCACACATTTTTTATTAGCTGATGCAAATTAGAATTGCACTGACTTCACAGACTACAGACAAGGTAACAGATTGCTCCACTAAAAAAGTAACAAGCTTTTTCCCCCCAAAGGAAAATTAGCTGCATATGGCAAGAGTAAGATCTGCAACTTTAATAAAAAGAAGTCATATTTAGTGAAAGTAAAGCTCACTTACTCAATGACTTAAAGTTTGCTTAAAATACTAATAATTGTAGTAGAAGTGGCACACTAAAAAAATAAAACAAGCCTCTTCATTATCTATTGATAACATCTCATGTTGTCAAAGAGATCTTAAGACTTTTCTACATCGATGTGTCACTTCATTAAAGTCACTGCAAACATCATGTGGAAGATTAATTCCAATGTATGTGTGTATATATATTATATATATATATATACACACACAAACACTCTAGAGGAAGTTCAAGGTTGGTATTAAAAGCAAGACCTGATAATACAATATTTTGCTCATTCAAATGGCCTAACAGATAGTGATTCCTAAACCCCAAGATGACACATCCAAAAGCAGATAAGGACCATCATTTACTGATGTTAGCCTAATTCTATACAAGGAAAGTGTACCATTACACGACATTTAATATCTAGCATAGACCTAATCAGTGTAGATTCTAGCTGTCTGTGGTTGAAGTATTCCAAGACATTTAAATCAAATAAACAAAAATAAAAAAGAAAGCCCTGTGGAATAAGGATAAGCACATTGGCATTCATTCTTCTCACAACCCACTTCTCCCACCCATTTCAAAACTCAAACAAGCTAAATGTGTTCTCACTCAAATGGCATTTTAAAAATGGTCAATGTGTTTGACAAAGAAACTAAACGCGACTATCATCTTCATATGTCGCTCAGCCTCCTATTTCAGGAGCTCTTGAAGGCAAACAATTGTGTTGTTATTTGTGTTCTCACATCATAACCAAAAATTTTGCAAATAACATGTAAAATATTAAAATTTCACAGAGCCTTATAATCTCGAATATATTCTCTGCTATATGTTCTATGATGCATCCCAGACAGACATCAAGTGAGGTATCCAAGTGGCTGAGATGAAAATCACCAAGCAACACACGCGACTTGCTGGGTCTGAAAGCAATGAGTTAACAGTGCATGAATCCGAAACATCACAGAGGAACTGCTACTTCAAAGGAAAGCAGCCTTCACTCTTCATAAGCGGTCATTAAAAGTTACACATTTCTCACCAGAGCTTCTGTAATGCCATCTCATAGCTTGGACATACTAAATTTTAAATAACTAAAAGAGTTAATCTAAAAGTCCTCCATCAACTTCAGGTGTTTATGGCACTGTGTGATGCTGACTGGTGATGTTATGTACTAATAAGCAGCTGTTGTGTTGCTACATTCTGCAGGTGGCTGAAACTGAAGTATAGAGGTATCATTTTACCAACTCTGATCCATTCCACAGTAGTTGTGAGGCCTGACGGCAAATTAGTAAAATCACCCAGCTCAAGCAACTTCAGGTATGCAAACTGGAGAGCAAAAGCAGAGACCTCACCTTCAGAAGGCATCAGTAACGCATCAGCTATTAAACCATCCTCAAAATTCCTGCCCGTACGTTGGCAACCTTAACCACAGAGCCCAGCAAAGAAAATACTGCTAATCCTTCCAAATCAAAGACCTCAATGCAATAGGTAAAGCAAGGCCTTATGGATCTTTTTCAGTAGAGAATGCTGCATCAGGTTCACACAGCCACAATTCTCCTCCCTCAAGATGTGCGCTAACAAACTGCAGAGAGCTCTGCAGCATGCTTGGAGATCCTCTTGTACCAAGCACAAAACACAATCTCTCTTCTAACTTACAGTGGTGCTGTTACCAAGTTTTAAACAGTAAAAGTCACAAAAAGCTTAGCCTTAGAAGTAATAATTTGTAGCAAGTGTCAACGTGTAAGATTTATGTATTTTAACATGACTTTCTATCATTAAAGTATCCAAACACCAATATTTCATAGCATGACAAAAGAAGAAAACAATGACTAGTTCAAACCACACTAAAGCAGTCACTTCAGTCCTAATACTTGTAGCACAGCTGATGCACAAAACGAGCGCTGCCTACAGAGTTTATTTCATTCAACAATCTCTGGAAGATTTGTATTTGCTCTGCATTTCTTTTTAATGTAGTCTGAAAGAATCTAAGTGGACAAAATTTGTTGGATGACTTCAGTGGATAATGCAAGTTTTTCACTGTGATAGTATCATCCTGTAAGCAAATGCTGGAACAACGGAAAACAACCTCTCAGACATCATGTTTCCTTTAATGGTTTAGAATTCACAATAAGGCAAAACAAAAACAAAATGAGTATATAGCCTGAAGACTAAAAAAAAAAAAAAAAGCAGGATTTCAGCATATCATTTATCTCTGTTCCTTGTTTTGACCATGTGCAAATTTCTGCCAGAAGCTAATTCCCTGATTCCTGTGAACTCAATTCCAGCCTCTGCATCTGAATCAAAATTTGCTGCACCAGCATTTCACATTAGGAAGGAGGTTCACAAATCAAATGAAAACTTACATTTCCTTCCGTGAATAAATTCCAAAGATCTTATGACTTATCGGCACCAAGAGGTGTCCTGTTGGAGTAGCTACATTAATACAAGCCTGGCATTAGATGCACTGGATGGGTTGTAAAGAGGGTGTTATAATAAACCAACTTCAGATGAAACAGGTGTGCTGTAACCGCCCTGGTAAGTTGGTACTAATGCACATCTGTCTCACCTGATAGCATAAAAATCCCTCCTACAATCACACTGGGCACATCCACATGTTCTGCTATTACTCGTGGGTTTGCAGTATGCTGTCAAAGTAACATGGAATATTTCTCCCCTGTGCTTTCAAAATGCATCTCTGAATTTGTTGCATTTATGTTATGGGGAGATTTTCCATTTAATCCTTGACATGTAGTAGCTACTTCTTATTATATGCTAAAGACACATATATTAGAAAAACGATCCACCCTTGACTAAGATTGCTGGCAACAGGTACTGCTCTTTCCCCTGCAACTAATGCTAAAAAATAATTTACTGCTGACAATGAAAAACCTTCTGGTACAGTCAATGACATCTCTGAAAACACGACAGAGACCAGAGGATCTATATAGAGAATATATTTGCCAAAGTAACTCAAACTCATCTACATTTGAAACGGATTAGAATGGATTCAAGACAGACTCTGCATTATAAGAACACAGAGAAACTCCATTATTTGGAGCACACTAACAGTAGGATGCAGAAAAAGGCTGGCTGACATCATTCACCTCCCCACTCTCTCTCCTTCAAGAACCCATCTCTTCATCTTACCACGTAAAACAAGCAATTCTCCTTACGAACCACTCTCTCCCTGAAACTGAACCTTCCTCCTACCAGCAGGATTCAGTTTTTGATGACTCCTTTCATTTTTCCCCTTAAGCACCTAACAGCATCATCTCTTTCTATGATCTCAACCCAAAAAGTACTTGTAAACAACCACCATCCAATTAAATGATTTTCAATTATTGCAGCTCCTTTGCAATACAAAAAAACCTTGACCCACGAAAAAGTTAGGTACAACTAAACCACCATAATGCAATTACCATGACCTACTCGGATACAGATTTTCAAATCAGAGCAGAAACAAATCAGCATTGCACGCATAGATTTGTGAAAAGGCTTTAAGAAAAGAACCTTTTACTTATCGAGAGCAAAGTAATTTTAAGAAACATTCCCGAGATGAAGAAACACAAAAAAAATATTAAGTAGCAGTTCATAATCAAAATAATGTTTACAGACTACATTTTTAAAAGGACAAAGCATTACAAGAAGAACTGTACTTCAAATGGGCTTCAGAGCATTCAAACTTTTAAAGCTCAAGTGCAAGTAGGTTTTAAGGGAACAAAGAAATCTAATGCTACCTATTCAAATCCACTAAAATCAGGAGCGCGGAGCGGCGCCCGTGGAGGGGTAGGAGGGGACCGGAGGCGGCGCTGAGGGGAGCGGTGGCGCAGAAGGCCTCGACTGGCCCTCAGGCCCACGGGGGGTGGGTTGGGGCCGCTGACGGGGCCTTCTGGGAGAGCGGAACGGGGAGAAGGGCCTGTAGGCCGGGAGGGCGGCGTGGCTCTCTCCGCGCCCGCTGGTTTGGGGCGGTGGTGACACCAATCCGTGCTCTCCTCTCCGTTCCCTGTCAGACTGGAGTGTCGCTTTTAGGGAGGTCTTCCTAGCAGTAACCCAGTGCTGGAATATCTGAAAGGCCAGTGGGAGAGGTACAGTAAGGGTCCAGGGAGTCGGAAGGGGCCTGTCTAGTCCTGTCTAGTGGCTAAAGGTGCTTGTGGGAGAGTAAATAAAGCATCTGGCATGCTTAGGTGTCAAGGTAGATGATTCAACCATTCCATTGTAAGGAGATCCAGAGCCTTCAAACTCATACCCATAAGTCATGGACTGTGGTTTCATTTTGCTTTATCTGATTTTAATGAAAATAGTTTTTATTCTGGATAGTTTGTTTTCTCCCAATTGTTACTCATGCAATTACCATTTAGTAGTGTATATATAACAGGGAAAGACTAATACAGGGACTTAACAATAGCTTTGTCTCATCATGCCTCTTTACTAATATCTTGTAATTGTGTGTCATAAGCCATTTGTGTTAGTAAAAAAAAAAGTAGATGTGATATCAACAATGTTAGCCCAGTCCAATGCTTTCTATGACATTGTGCTAAATTAAATATACCACTTTGCAGAAACATGTATTTTATAACTGATTTAGGATATTCTGGAGGTGTTTGCAACCACCTGAACTTCACTTGCTTGGTTTATGGTGGTCCTTAAACCTGATAGGCTTCAGCTGCCATCTGAGTTTTCATCTCCAGTTCATTTCCTTTTCCATTGAGTTTCTTCTCTCGTTCTGTTTACAGCTCCTTGTGATTTTGATTTTGATATTAAAGCCTAACTAAAGCAGTCATGAAAATAAATATAACAAAATATTTATGTGTTTTTTCCTTGTATAGTTTTCCTTTCTGTTTTTGCCTGATCAGACTATATATAATGTTTTTAGAACTGTTTCTTATGGTTTATGCAGGAGTCTGGCACTGGGAGACGTTACCTTAATTGGGTTTTATATGCTGTCACGAATAAATAAATAATACAAGTAAGGGTTGGAGTTTGTCATTTCTTGTGTATGAATGTGATTGCTTTTCTTTACTCTTCATCTTTGAGCTTTTCACTGTCCTCTCTTACTATTTCTGAAAGAATTTAGTCATTGTCTGACGTTTTCTTCCTCTTTGAAGTAAATTTCTTCAAAATAAGCCCACTCACATTTCATTTTCTTTAATGACTTCTATTCATGAACTGTTGTCATATGTGAGTGAGACATATCGATGTTTTTGTAAAGTACTCTGCAAATTAACGGTATAATATAAATGTCTTAGGGTAGGATCAGGGAAAGCACAACCAGTATCATGTGGTGAAGGTAAAATCTCACAGCGGTTGTCCTAGAGGAGTTTTAAATCTCCTCTGCCTTAACAGCCTCGCTGTATTGTATGAACTTGTGCATGAGAGGTCTGTTCATTTACCACGTAGGATGATAATTCAAGTTGAACACAGAAGTAAATGTGTTGAGATAATTTTACTCTATTAGGTATTCATTTAAGAGGAAATAAAGCTCAAAGATAGGAACAATAGCTATATAAAATATTTAGAGTGATTTCTGAAGAAATTTTACGAGGTTTCAGGTCATAAATTTCTACCTCAAGTAGAATTCCAAATAGATTCTCCAAACGAAGAAGGAATTTATTATCTGAAGTATTGGATATATTTTTAACGTCTAAAATATGGAATACAGGAAAGGGTGGAGGAAGGGTTCTTAGCTCTATCAGGTGAGGGCTAGGTGAGGAACATACTATAATATTTTCGAGTTGTCAGGTCAGTCATTGCTGAATGTGTCTTCAGAAATACCATAGCAGAGTGAAGGGTAGATTGCTCCCTGCAGGCAACTTCTTATTCTCTAATTTTAGATTCTCTTCTGAAGGAAATAACTGCCTGATGGTGGAAGAAGTGGGGAGTCTGGGTAGCATATCTTGGTCTACCCCTAATCCTTTTGTCAATACATACTTCAGTTGCAGTTAAAAAAACATTGTAAAAATGAATATGTAATTCTCAGTGTTTGATAGTGTTTTAAAAACTTTTGAAGATTATAAATTAAAACCATAATGCCTCATATACTGAATTTTATAATTTCATTGTTTCTTCATATTCTACTAAAACGCATTAGTTAAAATATTTGGTGTTATGATAAATTCAGGTGTAATTGATACATGGATGGGAAGATCTATAGAATTTCTTACCAGATGGAAGACTGAGCTGTTTTCTTCCATTGGTAAGAAAGGGGAAATGTAAGATTTAAATAAAAGCCACCTACAGACAGATTGCTTCAGGAGTCTACCTGGCTGATTATGCCAGCCATAAAGATGGGGATCCAAAAAGCATGCAAACCCGGAATTCTTACAAACCTTAAGTCCCACTCCTAGCTTCACACTAGATAAAAGTAATGAGGTTTTTTAGGTTTTTTAATAAAAGAGTTCTGGTTAGAGAACATGTTAAAACTGTCCTAAAAAAATAAGTATTACAGACTAGCATCGCTCTTCATACAGGTGAAAAAGAAACCCTGATGTTCCTTTTTGTGAGGTATCTGTCTAGCCATTTATATAATGGGTAGAAGATTGTGGGTGCTTAGGTGCCCACACTTTAAAGAGAGATTTGAATTTTTAATAGCACTTCTTTATAAGCTTTAGTGAATGTTCCAGTATTGTAATCTAAAGATATGTTCCACTGACATGGTGATAAAGATTATTGGTTTTATACCTTTCCTGAATATGATTAAGTATTTTTATTGGCTCTTAAATAAATTTTACACATTCTTTTAAAAGTATTTTTAAATTTTAAACTTCTCAAACACTGGGCCCTTGAGACCAGCCCCGTGGTATTATTGGTCCTCCTTTGCATTATCAGAAAACCTGGTTTGGATTTCAGGATGTAGGTGCTCAGAATAAGAGTTGTGCACATGTAGATGTAAAGGAATTCTTTGGTCCTCCTTGCTAAATTAAGACCCCAGTCCTCCCCTCCTGTGTGTTCACACTACTTGCCTTGAGCCTGTGTGCAGCAGAAGGCAAAGACTTGTCCTTTGGTTTCCATTTTTTTTGAGAGGTGTTGCCATATCCAGCCTTGGTGGAGCAGTAAACATCGCCAGTTAGGATGAATTTGCAGTTGAAACTTTGTGCCTGTTTTTGGAGGAATCTGTCACAAAAGAATGTGGGTTTGGTAGTTTTAGCAAGGTAGAGAAAGATTTGATCCAAGTTCTCATATCTTTCAGAATTAGTCTCTAATATTAGTCACCTTTGGTTTTGTTAGTCCCAGCAAATGAATGTTGTTGTCAGTAGTGTAATTTTGGAACTGTAAACTTCACGGCATGGTAGTTTTTGTATCATTTTAGTATCTCACTGGGACAGTTTTGTGCAACTATCACTCCTGCTGTTTTTAAACAGTGAATTTGTATTTTCAAAATGAGTTGAATAATGGTAGTATTAACTCTATAAAAATGTGTGTTGCTCTTCTGTATCTTTCTAGTTATCTATTTAGTTCAGTAATAGCACAATATTTATTTCTAGGTAACTTAGAGGAGAAATGCCTAATAGTGCTTCTATTTTTCTTACTGGATAAAAATAACTTCGAAGCTGCTTTGCAGTGGCCATGAATAATCAGTGAAGACCTACGTCATTTTATGGAATATTGGATGTTCTCATAATGAAGATCTCTCTTCTGCAGCAGATGTATAAGGATGTGCTGGTAGGCATTCCACTAGCGAAGGAAAGCCATCATTATACCTCTTTACTTAATCTGTGTGTTGAACAGTCACCAGAAAGAGATGAATCATGTAACTGGATGCATCTGCCATCTACTAATGGTGGTATTAGGAGCCATCAGGACACTGATATGTCAGATGTGGTTGTCCCTGAAACAGAAGATATATCAAATAGCTTTGCAAACATGAACTCCTCATTCTGTCCAAGAGAAGTGATGCTGCTTCAGTTAACCCTGATCAAGATGATGGTTGCTAAAGCAGAGTCCCAGGAAATTGAATTCAGTGCGAGACAGAAGTACTGTGAAATCTTTGTCCTTCTTCTGAAGGAAGCAAAAATTGACTCAAAATTGGTAAGCTTTTATAAACTTTTGAAAGATATTTGTGAAAGGAGGAAAAAATAAAAAGGAATATGCCTGACATACTTTTTCTTTCTACACATCTGCAGATTTGTCTGCTTGGTAGTTCCGATCAGCTTTTATCTCACATGGCTTCAAAAAGTTTAGCTTCTCTTGTGTATTTCCAGCTGAAGGAAGAGGTTAGTATGGCATAACTTTTCACAGCTTAAAAAACCCAACTTAGTGAGTATGTGCCTTCAAGTTATTCCATTTGACTCTAGAGCCAAGTTTTTGTAGTGCTTATATGGCACAAAAGCATTCACTGTGTGACTACTGTAAAATCTAAAAGTACGTCTAAAGAGACTGTTTTTCTAAGTAGACCCACAGAGCAGCATCACAACTGCCCCTTTCTTTCATCTGTTGCCTGCATGTCTGCTCTGCTCTAGATTTCTGAAACCTGCTGATAATTCAGCATACAGACTGCTAGTTCCCTCAAAATGCCACACAGTTTTGTTGAAATATGTTTAGCTCCAGTATCGGGAACAATGTGAAGGTTATACATGACATTACTACGTGATAGTTCTCATGTAAAATGTGTCTCAAGGGGCTTTGGTTTCTAAGTGATAGATCGGAAAGATGCGTAATAAATAGTCCAAGAGAATATTTCAAGCATGTTAGGAGGGGCATGGAGTATAGAAAGAAAGGGGACCAGATGTGTAACAGAAGTTTGTAATGTGAGGTGGAATGTCTTTAGATATAAAAATCTGGAATCTTATGAAACTATTTTAAGGTAAAATGTAGTCTACATGACAAGAAGTATTCTCTTTAAGACTGCAGTACAGGTATTTAAAAAAACCAATAGACTAGCAATATTTTTACAGTAATTTAATATCTGTTAGGTGTTGCAGTAGATAACCGGTAATAGCCTATTGAAAGTTAATCAAATGCTTTACTGTATTTTCTTGATTGAATATTCCAATTACTCGTGGGTAATTTTACTTGCTGTATAATTGGTGAATATATATTGTAGCCTCCATAGCATCATCTCTGAACATAGATTTCTATTGGAAATATATTTGTGGTATTTCTTGCGAAGTTGTCTGGGTCCAGGAATTATGAATTCATATCTGGTCTGACTATAGTATTATCTGATATTATACAGTATTATCTGATTTATGTGATATTATCACATTTATGTGATATCACATTAAGAGGTTTGGTTTTCCCTTTCTGGAAAATACAGATAATTTCTAATGCATGCATATGTGACTTCAGGTTTGTAAATAGAGGCCTATGTTCTTGAAAGGCACTGGACAGATGTATTGTTTCTAGCTATGTTTTGTCTATGCCTACATTTGAATCTTTTTAATGTACAATTTTAAATCATGGTATTATGATTTAATTTAATTTGCATAGTAATTGTAAAGCATAATTGATTATCTTTTTGAATGAATTTTCTTAGAATGCATTAAATGTCACCTGGCTCACCTTTAGTTTGAAGACTCTTTCAGGATTCCCTGTGAGTACCCAGGTAGCAGAATGTCTGTGGACTCTTACAACTATTATCAAGGACATCCTGAAAGATGAAGTTTTGCCCAAAGCAGGTACTGAGCAGTTTTATGATGTTACTGATACACGAGTTCCCACTAGGGGGAGGAATGTTACTGCTAATCTCATCTGGAGCAGCCTCTCTAAAGAGCACCTCTTCCTTATAAAGAGGGTAACCAAGTACTGTTAAAAACGTAGTGGTTTAAACATGCTTAAAAACTGAGAATAGTCACAGTCATCTGTATTCTGCTTATTCGATGATTTAGCTGACTGTGTTACACTCCAATTCCATAATGTTGTTGTTCTTGCTGTAGGTATTTTGACGAAGTTGTTGGCTCCTCTTGACGCTGTGCTTGAAGGATTTTACAGTTCCATTCTGTTCCATCATTTTGACAGTCACCACTATACTTCACCTTATTCTGAAGCTGCAAACAATTTGATCAGTTTTATAGATCTGCTTGAAGCACTTCTGGCTTCCAGAATTGAATTAGAACTACCACTCAGATGCCAGAGAGTATTGTTTTTGAAAGTTTCTTACATTCTGAACCTCATTAGCTCATCAATTCACTATTTAATCAAGAAGAAGTTCATTATGCTCCTTAAGAAATGTGTCCTTTACAAGTCTAGAGAAGATGCAAAAAGTGGATCACTCTTCTTACAAACCCCATCTTTATATGAGGATATGCTCGCGCTGAGTAACAGTGTTCTGCAGGTTGTGAATTTGCCTTGGCTGACGAAGATCCCTCTCTGTGAAAAGGCCAGCTACTTTGGAGGCAGTGAAGCTGCTCCTGGAGATGATACTCCTGGTAGTTCTGACCAAACTGTTCTCAGAGCCTTAAGTCTGGTTGTGCTTAAAGCTCTGGAATTCAAGTTTCAGAACTCTGCTACAGAGGCTGAAATCAAAGGTAATAGCCTCTCTTAGTTTTGTTCATTAAGCAATAAGAGTTTTAAAGCTTTCAGATTTTGTAGTTGCAGCTCATTAAGACTCTAAATAGAATTCAGCTGAATTAGTGGTTGTGGGAGGGAGGAAAGGGAAGACTCACCCAGGAAACTTGCTATCACTGTGTCCTTCTAATTAATTGCCTCCTTGCATTTTATCCTGTCCTTAGCCCTGCAGTATGGGGGCCTTGAAACAGCTGCATCTGGGATTGTAAACTTTTCCTGTTAAGAACATATGTTAATATTTGAAATAGTTGAGCCAGCTTGGGAACACCAGGCTCTTCTCCAGTTGGAAAAGAAGAGAGCCCATAGCATGAGCATCTACTCTATTCAGGGTGGGAACTAAAAGAAACTGCAGATAACGCGCTTCTGTTTTCTAATGTGGAGATAGAACTTTAAGTACTATTATGTACTGGTGTGTGGAAACAAACTCTACAACTCTGAGTTATAAAGCAGGTATGTTTATTCCGGTGCTGTGGTGCAATGGGATTTTTCCACAAAGCTTGCATACTAGCAGCACATTTTACCAGAAACTTATAGAATGTGGATATACATATTAATTGGATTACATAATACAACTATACATATTCATAAGTGAGGCTGGGTTAGTTCAGAAGGCTGGTGTCAGCAGTTTTTTATCTTTGCACTTGCACATTGCCTCCTGGTGGTCGTCTTCGGAGGTGTTTGAGGAAGGCTCACAGTCTTCTTCATGTATTTTTCCTTGGAGCATGCGCAGATTCTCTTAACCAATTTCTTGAACAAGAGTGGTTCCAGCTGGTTTACCCCCTCTATCTTATCTAAAAGCACTAGTATCCTAGTTTCTACTGTCCATATATGGCTCAACTTGGTAGAATACACCTGCTTTTCAAGAACATGTTTCTTTTTTTTGCTGATCATAGTAGTCCTTGGTAAGTTTCCAGAGAACAGTCTGGGCAAGCAGGATTGCTAAGCAATATTAGCAATGTTCAAAAACCTTGTAAGTTGCTATAAGTGTTGTTATAAGTGAGTAAGTTGCAAAGCAAGTAATCCTTTCTCTGTATCAGTACTAATCTTGGTTGAAGGGACTAGGCATTACTGTCAGACAAATAATGTAATAGGGCAAAGCTGCAGTGATAAAAATAATGAAGCTATAAAATAAGAGACGGGGAAATTATGGGACTTGTCAAATAGTGGTTGTGTTCTTCACCTGAGGTCCAGCTCTAGTCCTTTGAATTAGTAGGTGTGAAGCATACTTTTCATACCTGCCTACTTGAGTGTGTTTGTTCTACTGAAGAGATGAATTGGATTGGTGGAAGAGCAGCTCTGGCCCCCGTGCTGGGGCTATGCCACAGGGAGCAGTGGGACCTCAGGGGAATGTGTAAATTGTGCTCCTGATGGGAGAGGATCCCTTGCTGTGTCGGGTGAGTAGCCAGTTAGTAGTCTTCTCCTGAGCTATAATGAAGTGGTGGGGTGAGGCTGCTTGCATGAGACACACTCCTGGAATCCCATCTTCCCACTTGCATTTTAAGCTCCGAGAGGCAGATGGTGCTCACCTCTGATGTGAAGCCACGTGCACATGGATGTGCAAATTCTGTGATCAAAGCAGTTTTCTGGCCCTGGGTTACAGGCTTCACTGCAGAACTGGGAAGGCAGTTCTGAAGCAGCATTTCTAGTCAAATAGACGTGAGAATGGGTGTTCCTTATTATCAGCCAATTGATGATGTGGCAAAAAGTAAAAAATCATTTATATTTCTCTTCAAACAAGGATAAAATTTTGCAGCATTTTAAATATATTGAGGCATTTTAATACAAGTTCTAGATATAAATATTTAACATATTTCTCTTCAAACAAGGATAAAATTTTGCAGCATTTTAAATATATTGAGGCATTTTAATACAAGTTCTAGATATAAATATTTAACTTTTTCAGCATTTTAAATATATTGAGGCATTTTAATACAAGTTCTAGATATAAATATTTAACTTTTTCTATTTCTATGTTATGTAGCAAGCATAAAATCAATTTTTGATTCATCTGACTGTGCAGAAGAGCTCTGAACTTCTGTAACAGCTTCTGACCCTTTTTCCCAGATTTTGAAAGATGTTATATTTGTGATGCCAGTTGCATCCTTAGAGTTTTTAAAGTATTTGTAGAGAACATTTTACTTAAGATACATCTTCTGAAAAACATAGAGACTGAGATTGTCTTAAGAACAAGTGACTAGAAAAACACGTAGATTAAATCTATTTTAGATGTCTGTGAAAATTCTTTCTCAAGGAAAAAAAATTCTCATTTATTTTTCAGATTCATGACACAAAAATGAGTTTTTTAATTAGATTCAAATACCCCAAGTGTCAAGAGGAAATTCATGTTGAAGTGGTCCTTCTATTTTAGTGACATTAGGTGATTAAAACAATCACCAGAATACTTTAATATGCTATCTCTTCTTCCAGGAATCTGGTTGATCTTACTTTTTTTATTAACATGAATTACAGTGGCTTAATTTTAATTCATTTCAATTTTGAGAGTAATTTCCAGATAGCTCTGATTTATAAGGAAGAATTTCAGTCTGAATAGTAACTATTAATAAAAAGGTAATTTGCTGTTCCTATATTTGTTAAGAGTAAAAGCAAATCCTAAATATTAAGGAAAACTACATAACGATGTGGTAAGTAAAATTGATTCCCATGTTGCAGGAAATTTTTCAAAAGTAATAATCACTGTTTATATCGATGATGCAACTGTGCTTTTCAAACCATCGTGTGCTTCCAACAACATTAGAGTTCTTAAGGAGTACCTTTGGGATTGAAGATATAGGTCTTTTTTTTTTTTCCTGTTTTCTAAACATTGAATGTACGCTCTGTTACATGAAAAACTGCTACATAGTACCATGTTACAGTAAGTCAGTAGTATTGAAGAGGTAAGTTTCTTGACTTAAGGGAAAGAGTATGTCCCTCATGAATACAAAGATATTTTAATGAGTAAGATACCGCACTAAAATGGCATAAATTTTGAGTTGCTTTTCCCATTCAGGACTGTAATGCCTAGAGATTTGCAGGAAAAACACTGCTTACGTTAATCCTTCCAGCAAGGATTTTACACCATCTCGTGAAGGTATCTTTATCCCAAGTGTGTATGTACTTGACAATGTACATAATCCATGAAGAATTTCTTTTATAAAGACTATGACTGTACTACAAGCTTCATACTTCGTTTTACTGTAGAAATGACAATTTATTCCCATCAGCTATAGATCACTGCAGTTTAATTATACAGTGAATCATGCTGAGGGGGAATGGCTTCAGTCCTGTCAAAACATTACAGTACTATTATTACTTCATAAGGGAAGAACTACCTGAGATGAAGCCTCAGCGAGGTGCTCGTATTGGATCATTACATCTGTGGCATTGACTTGATTACAACTCGCCTTTAGTCTGTGATGTACCAATGAAGCTACCTAATTGGGGAGCTAGAGGAAAGTATAAAGCCCAGCTGTGTAGGTATAGTCACAGTTTTGTAGGTTTTCTGATATATGCAGATTTTTGAGATGTAATCTTATTCATCAGTCTGCGAGCTTAGGTGTGAGAGGATTCACTCTGTTGTACCCAAAACTTTCTAGGTTATCTCTGATTAGTCCAAGGAAATGAAGAATGCTGTTAGATGAATAATTTGTGTCCTTACGTTTTGTCTGTCTTGAGGGGTTGGGGGTAGCACCTAATGAATCCATTTTCGGCAGGTTACTTAAAATTGTTAACATTGGCATCTGAGCATTGCTATGTTTGGAGTTTAATGGAGTAGTCATTCACATTTAATTTAAGGTTAGATAATGTGTTTTTTTTCTGCAAAATGTTTTTTGATTTATTTGGTACTAGGAAGCAAGAACTAATCTATAAAATTTGATGCTGTGTTAAATCAGTTGAGCTAAGGAACGATAAATGCATTAATGAACTGTTATGCATTGCTATTTTTTTTTTAAGTGTGTTTAGTAACAAAAAATGATTACTACTTCTTTTCAGGAGACTTTCAGAGTTCCATGTCCCAGCTGTTGATATTCTGGAGGAGTCATCGGATGTCTTCCCCACAGTCTCACCCGGTTGTACATCACTGTGAATGGCTCTCCTTGATTTTCATAGAGCAAGATGATGATATGTGGGAAGCTGCTAAAGCTTTATTACTCATTTATTTAAAATTTGATAGGTTAGTGCACATTTTATTTGACATAATTGTAATTGACAAGAATTGTAATTTCGTGAGGTTATTGTGATATACGTAACATTTCCATTTATTTTTGTCTAAAGATAAAATATTTTTACTAATTAAAAAAACCCCAGACCTCAGCACAATGTAATAATGTGTGGTGTAAGAGCAGTTAACTTTGCTGATAATTTGATTGTTTTTTTTGATTGGAGTTGTGCAACTGTTTCCTATTAAATACTTTATCATATCTTGTAATTCAGAATAATTAACTTCACAGTCTAAAACAATGGTTAAACAGATAAAAGGCAAGACTCTTTCAACACTGAGAGTTTGACAAGAATGGGATATTATAATTAAACTGCAAGGATTCAGGGACTTCTGGCAAAGTAGCCCTCTGAGGATTGGACCCTTGTTAATTCTAGTTATTAACTAAAAACTGTTATTGCTGACAACTGAAATGTGTTCTTCCTGAATTTGTCCTGGACATTCATTTCTTCATTGTTGTTTAAATTACTATACAATATATTATCCTATAGAAAAGGTCTCCCAAGCATCAAATGTGAAGATACTGTAAATAATATCTTAGATATGCACAATTCTTCTTGGATGTCTAAACAAAATTAGGTCGATATTTTCCAATGTGTTTAGCATCCTAAAAGTTAATCTGTGTTCAAGTTTACAAAAATACTAAAATAACAATTCATGTGTTGTAGGTAACTCTGTTTATTCCAGAACATTTCTTAAGAAGGAGTGCTGTTTAGGAAGGCCTGTTTTAAGTGCTTTGGCTTCCTAAACTGTCCAACCTCCTAGCCTTACCTGCCTTCATTCTTTTTCATTCAAATATCAATACTTCTTCTTTGGTTTTTGCTTTTTGACAAAATCAAAAAAGAGCAAGAATACCATTTTTTGGACATACCTGTTTGTTTTAAAAAAATGTAAACTTCCACTGAATTTAATAATTTCATGACTTTTCAGGTTACGCCATGATGCTGCTGATAATTTAAGCCAAAAAGAGGAGGAAACCTGGAACTTCCTTACTCATGCAAGTGGATATAATCCTCACTGTATCTTTTTATTTTTTCTAGAAAAAATTGCATTTGATTCCACAGTACTCCTAGACTTTTTGATTTCATCAGAAACTTGCTTTCTGGAGTACTTGGTAAGGTACTTAAAGCTTCTTAGGAAAGACTGGCATCAGTTTGTAGATGTCTGTAACCATTTTGATACCAAACACAGCATGTTTCAACCAATGTCTTCTGTCAAGCTACCCCATCAAGGAAAACAAATCCGTATGAGTGATGAGAGTTTGCAAAATGCTTGTTGTGAACCAGAACCACAGACTCCAATATCTTTGGCTGCTTCTTACAATTACTTAGTGTTTACAACAGAGCAAGGTGATAATGAAGTTGCAGAGTCTAACCAGTCTAACTCATTGATATGCAACGATAGTACATCTCTGCTGGGTTCTCTTCAAAGCCTTGTTAGTTACGACAGCTCTGAAGACTCTGAATTAGAATCAGATGTAAAAGAGTGCTTGGTAAACACAAAGCAGGTGCCTTTTAATAATGAGGGTGAGACAAGGATAAGGGCAACTGGTTGCAGCCACACAGTGGATACACTCAAGTCTGAAGTGTTGCCTCTGAAACAAAAGGGATCCAATACCTCATCCTGTTTGACTTGTATGGCATCTTCAGATAGCATCGTTCCCCTAAGAATAATGCTTTGCAAATCAACAAAATGTTTGGAAGAACTGCAAAAAGCTATTTCTAGGTTGCAGAGAAGAAATCTTTTTCCATATAATCCATCTGCATTGTTGAAACTGCTGAGCCACATTGAGAAAATCAGTGAGAATGTGAATCCACAATAATCCAAAGAAGTGTTCTAGTACTTTTGGTTTTTTAACTAATACACTAGGGAACATTTCCATGAGATTAGTGACTTCTAAAGCGCGTGCCTCTTGCACCTGTCAGTGTATTTAACCTGAATCAGGATAAACACGCTCTTGGTTGACACCTTAAAAATCTGCAATTGCATTCAGTGATATGATCTTATGGTCTTACGGTTATTCATGGTATGTATGTCAATGTACAGTATATAAGAATTAATTGTTAGGTATTCAAAGTTTGATAATAAATTACTGATGTGAAAGCATAGCAACAATATATGATGCTTAAAGTATTGTCAGTTATTCTTAATGTCATTCTATATATGAGGTCACTGCCAGACTGGTAATGATTTATGCACTACAGTGCAGTGTTAATGCTGATTGCTTAGAGGTTGAGCTAAATAAAATATTTTAGTTGGGGACAGTTTTGGTGTTTATACTGTGTGTTCTGCATCGGTGCTTTGCTTAAGTGGACATTCAGATGTGCTACCGTAAACACAATAATCCATGCCATGCTTTTCTTGGCTGAAGTGCTTAACTGCTGTCTAGGATGTACTTTTTTTTTTTTTTTCTAGTTTTTACTGTTTGCCTGATTTAATCAGCAGTGTCATCATTTCACTGAAAATTGAATTTGGTTTTTCTTATATTCTATGGTATATTCCTTTAATTAAAATCAAAGGTAGATGTGGGACTAATACATATATTGCCTACTTATAGAACATTTTAGTGGAGTGTTATGTCTAAAATCAATGCGGAATTTAAATTCCAACAGAATTCCTCACATCCATTATGTATTTTATATAAATATAGAATATATACCTAATAAATTTGTCCTGATAATTTTGTTAAATTGGCAATGAAGAACTAGAAAATGTCTGCAGTGCAGAGAGATGGATATTGAATTTAAATTCTTACACTTACATCTTTTGTTAGATCTAATTTGAATAACCTGAAAAGTATGTGTCTAAGACACACGCCTGGGGAAAGGCAGGTTTAGTTCAGAACAGGATCTAAACCAGTGTGTGAACTTAGCAAAAGCCACCTAATGTTGTTACACTTGACATGCAGCTTGTAATGATCTCATAAGGGTTAGGCAATGGGGAAGTGCTGGTGACACAGACTACTGTAAAAAGCTCAGACCTCATCAGAACTGTAAGAAGCAATTTTCCTTTTAGGATCGTCTCTTGAAGGTAAGTGCTCTATTCTGATTGAGATCCAAGTGAGTTCTATCTTCCTTTTAAATAGCTATTTAGTGTTAAATTAAGATAGATAGTAAGATGAACAGTCTCTGGAGCAGGTGAATCTGACCCCCCAAATCTCTGTGGCCATCTTCTAGATTAGTCCTAAACGATAATTTAGCTGGAAATTGCAGTGCTCTCCAGGGACACTTGCCTGGTGTGAGTTCTCAGACAGGAAGGTTTGAACCTCAGTCTTACTCTTTCAGGATGACAGCTGTAATCACTTGGCTGTTATATAAGAAAGAGTGACCCCCTTCACTAGCACATGGGAGATCTGAATATTCTAGGTGTGTGTTTGTGCTTTGGTTTCTTGCTGAGATAACTTTTGTACATAGGTGAGACTGCAATGAATGGAAACTTTTCCATTCATGCTTAGAGTTACTTTAATTTAAGAACTAATCTCAAAGTTTTCCAGGGCAGAAGAATGCCTGGTTTCTCTTCACAGTTTGAACTTGGATATGCTCTGGATGCTGAGTTGCCCATTTCTATCAGGACTAAAATGCTGCTGGGCATCTTCAAAGATGCAACTCTAGACAACTTGGGAACTTTTCAGTGCAAACAAGGGAAGTGCCTTTGGCATGGCAGTTGAGCAAGAGTTTCTCAAGATCACAATTTTAAATGTAGGTAGGTACTTACATTTCAGTGAAATCCTTTCCACTGTCCTCACTTCTAATCGGGCCTTTGCTGACTAGTTCATTTTAATTAATTTTGTTGTTTTTACTGAACATAGTATTGTTCAGCATTTCTTGGTCTATACTTTGCCAGTTGCAAGTATCTGAATTACAACAGTATTTCTCAGACACTGATAAGATAAGCAGGGTGGGAAAGGTAGAATGGGGAGGTAATTTTGGTTTTGTTAAGTGCTAGTCTTTGTCAGTGATTATTACAACTGTAAACATTTTTTTTTTTTAAGTAAAAGTTTAGACATCTCAGAACAGTGTGCAGAATTTAGAAAGTATAAGAACCATAACTTCTGATTTTTTTGAATACAGCAAATCCAATTGCAATCCAACTGTATTTAATTCTTATAGGCATGAAGTTGATAGTGTGCCCAGTTGGTTATTAGTGGTGATCATTCCCACATGTTTCACTTCTCAGAAAGCCATTGTTTTAATTCTCAAAATGTTTTAGTGGTAAAAATGGGTAAATGTGGTTTGTATCTGGCAACTAGATACCTTAATGTGTTGATATTTTACCGTTTATGAACTGTAGGATCTGAGATGGAGTAAAATTGATGTGGGTTAACTTTTATTTTTTATTGAACACAAAATGAGTGTAAACAGTGAATGTAGCTAGTAGTTCTGTGGCTATATGCAAAAAGTCTAGCACAAAGAAAACACCTTGCAAAAGAATTTGTATTTTAATCTATTAGTGCGGTGCTTGGGGTTGTTGGTTTTTTATTGGTGTGAGTTTTTACTATCTCAAATTTTTAGGTAGAGCTGTTACTTCATTTACTAGAGCAGATTAACTCAGCTGCAGAACCTATTACCCATGTTAAATTAGCATTTAGGAGCTAGGTCAGTTATTACTGAGGTTGATGTGCCTTAGCTTTGTATATTGATACCTCAACAACACTTCTTGTATTATTTCGAAGCAAGACACTGACCAAATCAGGTGATCTGTCTGGAGGCAGTTTTCTATCTGAGGACTTATCTGATATGTTCACAGTCTCCATTTATGTCTGTGCAGTTGTTCTGAGGAGTTTATCTTGAACATCAGTAGAATAAATTATGCTTTAATGAGGTAAGCAGTTAGCACTAGAAGTTGCTTACAGGATGTGCTTTTTAAAAATAATATTTTTGAACTTGAATATTTGTAGAGCTTGATTGCAATTACAGCTGAATCCAGGTGGTTCCATGCTTGTGGTTCTTCAAACAAGATTTCCTCCAATATTTTTATGATGGCTTTCCATTCTAGTTTTAAGACTTATAATACAAGCTTTAATCCTGTAATACAAGAATAAAAACCAACCTTGAGAATTTCTATACTTACAATACTCATGTAAAGCTTGGAATAAGACCCCTTGGTGTTTCCCTGGTTTGTCACTGCAGGATAAGCATTGTTTGTACTTCCAAAGTCAGTCTAGGATGGTGTCTGAAGTCAGTATCAAGTATTTATCACAGCCTTTTAGTGTTAGTAGGAGTGAAGATAGGGTGGGCACTACAATTTTATTTCTGTGTATTTTCCCTTAAGAGTTGTCCAAATGAATTTGTTAATTCTTGTATTTCATGCAACTCTTAGGCTACCTGGTTTACTCTGAAATCTTGTTAAAGCCAATTGTATGTGTCAGTGTGGATGATAGGCAGTCTTTTATTATCACCAGCTCAACAGCAGGTATGGACCCGGACTTGGTTGAGAAGCATCTCTAGGTCTTAAGCTTTTCCAAGTCACTGTCTTTTTAAAATGTTGTGCAAATGAGTGTATTGCTGATAACTGTCAGAGACACTCTTTAATAGACAAGCTGGCTCGCTGCTTTTTACATACAGCAAGGAAGGAAGGAACAGTATATTTTGTGGTAAAAAGCTTGCATGAAGAATTAGAATATCCTTAAGTTATTACTGGTTCCTACTTACCTGTGCTGCAAAACATGGGTTTTGTCAGTCAGCAGTGTCCTTTGAGAGGGAAGATTTGGAAGAATTGTGAAATGTTCGAAAAAGTAGCACACACAACCTCAAAAGTAGTTGCACTGCTGAATATTGGCTTCCTTAAAAGGTTTTAGGGAAGGTTTGTATTTAAGTGTCCTGAACCTATGTCAGGAGTTCTCGCTGCTAGTTGAGGTTGTCCAGGAACCTGCCCATCTCATCCTGGTGCTAGAGAGTTGAAACCTGAAAGATTTTCTGTGGAGCTTCAAAGAGCCTCCAAATGTCCATACCTACTTTGGAGAAAGCAATCACTACATAGAAAACAATGGATAAGATTTTGAAGCCTATTTATCAAAACAGCATGTACTGATTAAGTAAAACATATTTGTCGTCACATGACAAAATCCTGCATGCTTATTTCTACATTCACAATGTTCACCCTTGGCTTGCTAGCTTTATCTTCAAATGTAGTCTTTCAAAATTTGTCAGCTCTTAGAGTAACTTCTTACTACAGAGCTTTTTATAGATATTTCATGTAGGGATTTAACTGAAACAGAAATGAATGCTTTTTGGAAATTTATCTCCAGTACTTGGCTTCCTCAATAGTCTTTATATTCTTCAAGAAAATCATGTATGAAATGGTGTTCTCTTTCTGCTGACACTGCTATGGCTGCTGCGAGAATTAGGCAAAGATCCATTATGCAGCAAATGTAAAAACTTTTTTTTTTTTTTAAATTCTCTCCTCAAGGGTGAATATAGTACTTAGAGGGACCAATATTCTGTTGAAGAATACTAAAGGAGTGTTTCTTCACCTAAGCTAAAAATATTTACCAGTATGATGCCAGTGTTTTCTGTAATTTTCCATTATGAACTGATGCAGAGGGGGGATTTTCTGTCTGTAAAGCATCAAAGGGATTGCCTTACAGTTTCACCAAGCAAATGCTGTTATTTTGCACTTGTGTTCTCTGGATGGGTAAAGATTGGTGCTCTAAGTCTTATAGTAATGTAATCAAACAGCATATGCAGCGTTGTCTAATGTGCAAGTGTTACAAATTGCTGAGGCTTATTTTCATACAGCTGTTAAACCAGTGCTTCCAGCTCTGAAGACCAACAAGGCATCTTTTTTTTTAATCCTATATTATTTGGACTGTTGGAAATGAATTGAAAAAACTCTCTGAATTAATTGATTGGACTAATTGTTAAATCTCTAGTGTTGCAGCCAGAAGATTTTGTGGTTTCCTGCATCTTAAGACAGTAATAGCACACAGGTGTTTTGAGTGAATTTGCAGTGCTGTATTTGGAGTGGAAAGGGTGAACTGTACAAGTCAATCCTTATATACATTTGTTCTTCCTAAGATTTTAAGAGTAGCATGCAAGTTTTAACATACTGTTTAATATAAATGTGAGCAACTGAAGTTACTTTCTTGCTTAAATTTACCTTTTCAAACATTTCAGAACATACTTGGTGAAAATACCTTCCTAGATCTACATTTACATTTGAATTGCTCTAGTGTTTCTGGTTACTAGAAAGGTGAATTTGGCAAGTGCGGACAAGTTGATGCTAAGTCAAGGGGAAAGAAAAAAAAATCTTCTCATGAAGCATAACTTAAAGACAAAACAGACCAGGATTTTATATAAAGAATGCTGACCAAACTGTAACCAGATTAATTCTTCACTA